GTTTTTGTTTTTTAGGTTTATTTTTGCCTTCATATGATGCCTCATTTATGATTAAAATAAACTTATTAAATATCTTAATGAACTTTTCATCTCTCATTATCCAGCGGCTGATCTGATAATTTTTGTCGGGGTAGCATGACAATTGTACGTCGTAATTAATGCAAGTGTTACTCACCGCCCAAACTTCAATCTGCCCGAAGCGCTGAAAATCACAGGTTTTCTTAACTTCGTTTACTGTCTTCTCTCCATTAATGAGGACGATACTCCATCAGTCGTGATGACCATGGACCCAAAAATCTTTGACATCTCGCTTTAATAATTCTCGGTAAAGTATTATATTATCTGACACAAAATAATATTTTAAAAATAGTTTAAATGAAAGCTAAGAGTTCATTGCTATAACAGAAGAGTTATTTTGTTATAACAGAAGGCTTATTCTCTCATAAACTTATTATCTCTCTTATAAAGAATGGTTATTTTTGTTAAAAAGAAGGGTTATTCTCTTAAAAGAAGTGTTATTCTCTTATAAAAGAATTTATTTTGTTATAACAGAAGTCTTAATAAAAGGTGTTATTCTCTTTATAACAGAAGGCTTATTCTCTCATAAAAGAAGTGTTATTCTCTTATAAAAGAATGGTTATTTTGTTATAACAGAAGGTTATTCTCTTATAAAAGAATGGTTATTTTGTTCTAACAGAAGGGTTATTCTTAAAGTGTTATTCTCTTATAAAAGAATGGTTATTTTGTTATAAAGATGGTTAGTAAAAAGTGTTATTCTCTTATAAAAGAATGGTTATTTGTTATAAAAGAATGGTTATTTTTGTTATTCTCTTATAAAAGAATGGTTATTTTATTTATAACTTTTGTTATAAGGGTTATTTCTCTAAAAGAAGTGTTATTCTCTTATAAAAGAATGGTTATTTTGTTATAAGGGTTGTTATTCTCTTATAAAAGAATGTTATTTCTCTTTAAAAGAATGGTTATTTTGTTTATAACAGAAGGTTATTTCTCTCATAAAAGAAGTGTTATTCTCTTATAAAAGAATGGTTATTTTTGTTATAACTTAAAAAAAAAGTGTTATTCTCTTTAAAAGAATGGTTATTTTGTTATAACAGAAGGGTTATTCTCTCATAAAAAAGTGTTATTCTCTTATAAAAGAATGGTTATTTATTCTAACAGAAGGGTTATTCTCTCATAAAAGAATGTTATTCTCTTATAAAAGAATGGTTATTTTGTAACAGAAGGTTTATTCTCTCATAAAGAAGTGTTATTCTCTTATAAAAAGAATGGTTATTTTGTTATAACAGAATGGTTATTCTCTTATATATTCTCTTAAAAAGAATGGTTATTTTCTTATAACAGAAGTGTTAAAAGAAGTGTTATTCTCTTATAAAAGAATGGTTATTTTGTTATAACAGAAGGGTTATTCTCTCATAAAAGAAGGGTTATTCTCTTATAAAAGAATGGTGTTATTCTTTATATTCTCTTAAAAGAATGGTTATTTTGTTATAACAGAAGGGTTTAAAAGAAGCGTTATTCTCTTATAAAGAATGGTTATTTTGTTATAACAGAAGGGTTATTCTCTTATAAAAGAAGTGTTACTTATAAAAGAAGGCTTATTATTCTTATTCTCTTAAAAGAAGCGTTATTCTCTTATAAAAGAATGGTTATTTTGTTAAAAGAATGGTTATTCTCTTTTGTTATTCTCTTATAAAAGAATGGTTATTTTGTTATAACAGGGTTATTATAAAAAAAATTGTTATTCTCTTTATAAAAGAAAAAGAAGGGTTATTTCTTATAAAAGAATGGTTATTTTGTTATAACAGAAGGTTATTCTCTTATAAAAAAGTTATTTTGTTCTAACAAAAGGTTATTTCTCTTATAAAAGAATGGTTATTTTGTTATTATTTATTCTTATAAAAGTTATTCTCTTATAAAAGAATGGTTATTTTGTTATAACAGAAGGGTTATTATAAAAGAAGTGTTATTCTCTTATAAAAGAATGGTTCTTTTTGTTATAACAGAAGGTTATTCTCTCATAAAGAAGGTTATTCTCTTATAAAAGAATGGTTATTCTTTTGTTATTAAAAGAAATGGTTATTTTATCTAGGCTTTTCGTTATTCTTATAAAAGAATGGTTATTTTTTGTTATAACAAAAAGGTTGAATGTTCAAAAGTAGAGATAATACGAAATACGTAACGTTTTTTTAAATAACTTTTTTCTTTGAAGTATGAAGTGCTTTGTTTAGGCCAATAATTTGTGAGTAATTTGACACTGGAGAAAATCTGAACGTTGGACGCGTGAACAGAAATGAAACTTTCCACATGATTTCAGACACTCTCCTCTTGTTGGTTTATTTTTATTTATTTTTTCGCATAGGCTCGCTATTTTTTCGCAAAGGCTCGTTATTTACTTTCTTTCTTTTTCTAGACTCAACGGCAACTTTCTGTGAAAACAAGGTTTCCATTGGCCGAAAGAAACCATACGTTCAAAGTATTAAGTCATAATATCGACATAAAACATTCTTTTCAGAAAAAACCAACACAAGGAAAAGTCATATTGTCTACATAAAACCACACATTCAAAAGATGACGTTATAATAACAAGCTAACATGGATGATGCAAAAAATGACACAAGTTGGTTCTACATCAGACAGTTAACCTCGCTATTGGAATAAATTCGTTTTTTTTTTTTGTTTGTTTTTTCGTTTGTTGCTTTCGGTGGACTAAGGGATAGCGGCTCGGATTGAGGAATCGGAGAGCCGAATTCGAATTCCAGTAGACGAATTTCGTGCAAAAAATATTGGGAAACGTATGAATCCTCTTCTTAGTCCTCTATGGATAAATAGCAGGACAGACTGGATTCTATAGACTTGGATTGCGACTGGTCTACCGCAGAAAGAAATGGCAACGTACTGCAGGAAAAAAAAATCTGCCTCGTCAATCATGTATCGAAAGATACATGATCGCCTAAACGTGTATCACGCATGGCACATAATTGACTGATGATTTCTTATTTGTGATTAAAATAAACTTATTAAATATCTTAATGAACTTTTCGTCTCTCATTATTCATTGGCTGATCTGATGATCTTTGTCGGGGTAGCATGTCAACTGTACGTTTTAATTAATGCAAGTGTCACTCACCGCCTAAACTTCAATCTGCCCGAAGTGCTGAAAATCACAGGTTTTCTTAACTTCGTTTACTGTCTTCTCTCCATTAATGACCGCCGACATGATGACCATACTTCATCAGTCGTGATGACCACGGTCCCAAGAATCTTTTACTTCTCGGTAATTACCCAATACAAGCGCGGTTACGAGGTGACTCAGATTGATGGAATAGCTGGTCGAAAATTACCAAATGAGTAATGAGTTCGATTCTCATTGTTAACTCCATACCTGTGGCCTTATGTCAAAATAATCTAAGATTAGTAAATAACAATCCGGCAACATCAAAGTGTGGCAATGGGTAACGGGTTAGTCTGATTAAATATTACTACTGGGCTGAGATTTCGATGTTCACTGAGTTTCCCACTCTTGTGTTCTTTTTTTTAAAAAATAATATTTACCTTGTACAAGGCTCAAGAGCCACTCGAGGTAGAGAATTACAGAGTAAGAGGCATGAGTCGTAGTTTAACTCGAACTTTTGCTAGTCTGAGCTGGGGTTAATAAGTAGCAACTCGGGCGTCTCGGCGATGGATGATGGTTAACGAGCTAGACTGATTAAACATTGCTCCTAAGTAGAGAGTCTAGTACTACTTAAATAGTGTGTTCTCCTCATAAAAAAATGGAGACTTGGGGAGGAAATCATTTTTGGTTTGGTTTATTTTGTTTTACGGTATATCAACCTCAATGGGTTAATTAATTCAGACAAGATTTTTAGGATAGGTTCGTATGATTCTGCTTACTTGCTTCCCTAGCAGTTATAGTCTTCAAATATTCAAATGTAATGTCAATTGACATCTTCTGATGCCTTGATCTAATGCTCTGTCCTTCTCTTTATCCTTTCCTCAATCACATCTCTTTACTCTGGCTCCCACTCTCTGTAACCCCTTACGTGCTATTGGTACTCACGCCTTGCTTAGGGTGAAAAGCTTTAAAAAAATGTATTCTTTGTAAGAAATCAGTTTGTAGATCAGGTTTCATTGACGTATTTTGTGAAGATGTTTTGTTTTTTTGTCGAGAGTCAAATATATTTCTGGTAATTGTTTTTTTTTTTTTCATAATCTAGTTTTATACTTTCATGGTGTTTTGACTCCAGTTTGGGGGTTAACTATTTTGCCACTAGATGGGACCCTAACAGGTGTTACCACCCCGAGTCAGGGTGGACCTGGGAACAACAATTAAGAGCTGGTTCCACACTCCTCAAAACCTTCCAATTGGAGACCTTGCTGCCGGATGTAGTTTATCGTCATACCCAGGACGAAATATATTTTACAGAATAAGCATTGTTTAGACCTTCTTTGAGCTGCAATACTTGTTGTTATCGAAAAATATTGATTCATTATCGATTTAGATAGAGGTCCTCTTTGTAATATCAGTGTCAAATCGATCCTTAGCTATTGGCTGCTATTTACAAATGACAAGATTAAAATTGTGTTGAAAATCCTTGATATCTTCATTGTCTTTTAATTTTCTGTTTTATAACCTTTTACCTTTTAAAACCTTCTTTTTTTTTCGTATCAAATCTTTTTTGGAAATACATGTCCAACCATTTGATTTGATTGAATGCTTTGTTTCTTACGGCTTATCAATCCTTTGTATGTTATTTAAAGCCAGAAAATATTGTAAGATTTTTTTCATTTTTTTTTTTTGAGTTATTAAAGATTTAGTGATACAAATCAACACATACTTGGTGGAGGGGAGAAAAGGTGGAGTCATACCTTTCCCAAGGGTATTTGCGCGTAAGCCAATATCACGAAGCCAATATCACGAACCCAATGCGAATTGGAACTTGGCTCTCTAATTAACGATTACACCACCCGCACATCCAAGCTTATAGCACCTAGTATTCCCAAGCTGTCACCCATATAGGTAGTGACCAGACTCGACATTGCTTAACTTCCGTGATCGTACGGGAACTGGTGTTGCAATGTGATGTGGCCGTAAGCCCAAACACTTCACGTCCATAATTATGTTCTTTCATTTATAATTTACTAGAAAAAATCTGGTGGAAGATTAACTCCATTCTGATGACCAAAGATGGATGCTTTTGTCTAAAGATGCTTTCAAACGGTGAAAATGTTGGCAATGCAGATCAATGTTGATTTTTTGTTTCCATTTCACCCCCAAATAAGGACGGGAATGCCTCTAGTACGTAAGGGGTTACAGAGTGTAAAAGTAAAAGAAACGGCTGGGTATAGCGGGGATTGAGAAAAGGATAAAAGATAAGCCGGGTTCAAGACAACAGAAGATGGCGATTGACGTTGCATTTAAATTTCTGAAGATTGTAGTGATCAGGAAAGCAAGGAAACGGAAGGGAGTTGCACTGCCGGGAAGTGCGAGAAAGAAACTGTTGAAGCAAAAGTGGCGGTTACATTTAACTATTTCAACAGTGGGACCTAGATGCCAATCGAGTAGCACACTCAAATGCATGTAGTCGGGGAGCCAGTGAAAATAGCTCGTCAGAGAAGTTGGCATGAAAATATTTGTCGGAAAGACAAAGGGAAGCGACGCCACGTTGGTGAGAAAGTCACTGAAGTCGAGATGCCATGTCAAGATCGATTACATTGCAGATGCTTCTTTGGATTTTGTTAAGAACCTCAAGATGAACAGCAGAAGCACCAGACCAGGTATGACAAATCTACAATTTGTACGTTGAATAACATTGCCGAACCGAGTTAACACGAACGGAATCATTTCTGAGTCGACCGCCATTCGTATGTTGTGCTGTGCTTTTCTTTTCCACTTTTATTGTACTATACCATTTTTCTCTTCATTAGTCCTCAGTCATGGTTCCAAAGAAAGCTAGCAGTGATACTTGTGAAGGAAAAAGAAAAGTTGATGATATTGTCTCTTCCTACTCAGTTTCATTGTAATGTGCTTTTTTTTCCTCTTCATTAGTCTTCAGTCATGGCTCAAAAAAGAAAGCTAGCCGTAATACTGGCAAAGGAAAAAGAAAAGTTAAGAGAAAAACAATTGTTGATGATATTGTCTCTTCCTACTCAGTTTCATATGGCAAAATCAACGATCTATACTATTCTTATAAAGAGACGATCATGTCTTTCCTTTCCTTTTCTAAATAATAACATCTCTTTCCTTCTCCTTCCACTTACGCCATCAACTCTCCTACCTACGGGTACGGTAAAATTGAAGTGTTCGTTTATATTTTATCTCTGTTTAGTATTTTTTTCTTTTTTTTTTTTTAGTTGTTCTTAGATTTAAAGATTTTCATTAGTTTTGTGTATAAACTTGTGCAAAAAGTACATTTGTAAAAGTTTAAATAAGCAATTATCTGGAACCATGAACGGATTAATCCATTTTACAGTGATTTCTATTGGAAAAATAGTTTCGGTTAACGAACATTTCGGGTTACGAACGGGCTTCAGGAACGAATTAAATTCGTGAACCGAGGTTCCACTGTATTTAAAAATATCTTCCCATCACGTGCTGATCATATAGTTTATGTTATGGACTTTTGGCATCCCCGATGTGTAAGTCACGTCTTGAGAAACCCCTTTTTCTAACCACCATGCGTTTTATCTTATTACAATGTATGGTCATTACTTTCAAATCTTATTCTACGTACCGAGTCTTTTCAGGACATTGGCAACCATTGCTCTCCACACCTTCCTACCCCTTGTAGACCATAACAAAGTTTTCCCCTTTGCCAAACCTAACCGCCACACAAGCTCGTCAGGTAGGAAGTCGGCTGCTTTCCCTTGTTCTTCTTACGCTTGATATGCCTTATGCGTGACAAATTTACCAAGCTCTTCTTTCTCATCCTTCTAGATATTTCAGTTGCCTCTTTCTAGGAATCCTTTTTTTTTCTATTTAATTTAAGACTTATATGTTGCTTACTCTATCTGTCCATAGTATCCTCAGTATTCATCTGTCCATAGTATCCTCAGTATCCATCTGTCCATAGTATCCTCAGTATTCATCCGTCCATAGTATCCTCAGTATTCATCCATCCATAGTATCCTCAGTATTCATCTGTCGAAACACATTTCTGTTGCCTCAAGTCTCCTCTTGGGTTACAACCATATCATGTCGAAGCATACGAAAAAAAAAAGTCGAACCTGGTCAGTGCTTAGTTGGGTGATCACTTGGAAATACAAGGTGCTGTAAACGGATGGCGTAATAGATAACAGCTCTGAAATGGGGGGGGGCTGAGTTCCAATTCTAGTCGGGTTCATTATATTCAACTTTTACATTTTTTTTATTTATTTAATTTTTTTGCGAAAGGTATGAATCCACACTATTTACATTATTCGGTCTATTGTCCCCATCTTTGTCGTAATATTTATTACAACGTTTCGGCCGTTGTACGCTATGGCCTTCTTCAGGTGGTTGGAATGTCGAACTAAACCCTTTACACTGTTCTAGTTCCACGTGCCATGTTTTAATGGATGTCAGTTATCAGTTATCTCCTTTTAATTCCCCTCTCCAAGTTCTCCACTGCCTTAACCGGGTATTGAACTCACACTCTTTGGGTCCAGTCACTAGACCTAACTAACGCCTTTATCCACTGTGCCATGTGTCCTTGAGGCAGTGGAGAACTTGGAGAGGGGAATTAATAGGAGATAACTGATAACTGACATTCATTAAAATATGGCACATAGAACAGTCTAACCCAGTGAGCGAAATAAAGGCTTCAGTTCGACATTCCAACAACCTGAAGAAGGCCGGAGCGTACAGAAATATAGACAGATACTGAAGGGCCGAAACTTAGTAATAAATATGGCGACAAAGATGAGGACAATAGTCCAAATAATGTAAATAATGTACGTAATACCTCATCTCAGAAATATAGACAGATACTGAAGGGCCGAAACTTAGTAATAAATATGGTTACAAAGATGAGGACGATTGTCCGAATAATGTAAATAATGTACATAATACCTCATCTCAGAAATATAGACAGATACTGAAAGGCCGAAATATTGTAATAAATATGGTGACAAAGATGAGGACTATAGTCCGAATAATGCAAATTGTGTACATAATACCTCATCTCAGAAATATAGACAGATACTGAAGGGCCGAAACTTAGTAATAAATATGGCGACAAAGATGAGGACAATAGTCCAAATAATGTAAATAGAGTACGTAATACCTCATCTCAGAAATATAGACAGATACTGAAGGGCCGAAACTTAGTAATAAATATGGCGACAAAGATGAGGACAATCGTCCGAATAATGTAAATAGTGTACATAATACCTCATCTCAGAAATATAGACAGACACTGATGGGCCAAAATATTGTAATAAATATGGTGACAAAGATGAGGACAATAGTCTGAATAATGTAAATAATGTACATAATACCTCATTTCAGAAATATAGATAGATACTGAAGGGCCGAAACGTTGTAATAAATATGGCGACAAAGATGAGGACAATAGTCCGAATAATGTAAATAATGTACATAATACCTCATCTCAGCAATATAGACAGGTATGAATCCACCTCTCTCCCTATGAGTTAATTAGTAAGACTTGTATCAGTAAATCATTATTATCTTCACCGCAAATTCTTAGAATCTAAAAAGAATTGTGGCTTTAAATAACCTGCAACATATTGATAAGGTGTAAAAAAAAACAATCAATCTATCAACTCTTCACCTGAGTGTAAATTGTCCAGTATTTACTGCCATATAGGAAAATTGGTATTACATAACACATATTACATGCACAGTACTCTTTTCTTTGTTTCTGTTGCATCTGTGAGGAAATTATCCAGTATTGACCGCCATATAAGAGGATAGATATTACATAGTAGTTCAGTACTTTTTTTCTTTGTCTCTGTTGTCTCAAGTCTACTCTTCACATGTGAGTAAATTGTCCAGTATTAATTGCCATACAGGAGGATAGATATTACATTGCAGTTCAGCACTCTTTTCATTGTTTCTGTTGCCTCAAGTTTCATCTTCATCTGAGTGTAAGTTGTCCAGTATTTACTGCTATATATGTAGGTTGGTATTAAATAGCAGTTCAGAACGTTTTTCTTTGTTTTCTTTGTTTCTGTTGCATCTGTGAGGAAATTATTCAGTACTGACTGCCATATAGGAGGATAGATATTATATAGCAGTTCAGCACTGTTTTATTTTTATCTGTTGTCTCAAGTTTACTCTTCATATGTGAGTAAATTGTGCAGTATTCACTGCCATGCAGGAGGATAGATATTACATGTAGGTAGGTTGGTATTACATAGCAGTTCAGTATTCTTTTCTTTGTTTCTGATGTTTTAAGTCTGTTTCTGTTGCATCGGTGAAAAAATTATTCAGTACTAGCAGTAGAGCCCGGCGTTGCCCATGGATGTAACAGTAAGAGATAGATCAAGTATCGACCATCATAAAGACTGAAAAATAAAATTGACAAAGATTATTGTTTAAGGTTGACGGACACGCATGTCTTAATTAGTTGATTTTTTTTTTGTTTTGTTTTGTTTTTTACGAATTGGTCAAACCCAAACTCAAACAAAAACATTTTTTCAATCGTTATGAGTCTACCGATTGAATAGAATTTTATTATAAACAATTGTTTTGTAAATGGAATTTTTAAAGCATTCTGAATGTAAAAATAAAGAAAAAAGTGTGCAAGACAATAAGAAACACTACCTGCCAAAAAAAAGTGAAGTTTTGTTGAAATCGGTTTGAAACATGTAGGAAATCCGATCCCATATATACGAACACACACACACACACACACACACACACACACACACACACACACAAACAACCTGGGTTTATAATAAGTATAACTCGATATGAGTTGTCCCCCTTTCATTCTCGTGATGACTCTTAATCGTGTTTTCAAATTGATTTCGTGCAAAAACAATTGTGTTTTTCCAATTTTTGGCGCTGTTAGAACCACCGCAAGGTAATTTTACGTAGTCCTGCGAAGTTTTGTTGAAATCGGTTGAAAAATGTAGGAAATCCGATCCAATATATAAACGTACACACACACACACACACACAATCTGCGTTTTATAATAAGTAAGATTCACTGCCATATAAGAAAGTCGATATTATATAAGCAGTTTAGCACTCTTTTTGTTGTTTCTGACAAAATGTTCCATTTTTCTTAGAATTTGCAATATATCTTTTACGATTCCAATGCTTGTTCGAATTTTAGTATCGCATTTTCCATCCTCCGTTGAAATACTTCCCAGATAAAGTTCTGTGAAGTCAGCAATTTTTGTAAATGTAGTTCTTTACGTCTAATAAATATTCCTACTTTGGATACATTGTCTTTTTTTTTTTTTCATTTTCCTCGTTGCTCACAAGCGCTTTCCATAGTATCTTCAGCATTATTCCAATTAACTCTTACTTGGTCTCCTCTTCATCTGTGAGGACATTGTCCAGCGCTCATTAGAATGAGGATTTAACAGTACATATCATTTTCTTTCTCTTATTATAAATCATTTAATACAAGGCTTAAAAGCCACTCAAAAGCTTCTCGGAAATACCCTTGGGAAAGATATGAATCCATTTCTCCCCCAGCTATGGGTTAATTAGTAAAATTCGTATCACTCAATGATTATTATCTAAAAACAAAAAAAAATGTCTTAAAATCTAAAAATATTTTCTGGCTTTAAATAACCTGCAAAGGGTTGATAAGCCGTAAAAAATCAAATCAGTCAATCTATTAAAAAAGATTTCACGGAATAAAATTGGTTATTTTTTTTTTTTATGAAGAATCTGTTGTTCTTTTCGGCCATCATGTAATTGTAAAGATCAGCATTAGCTTCTATTCCAAGATGGCGATTGTAATAAGAAAAAAAATTGAGTTGAATTTTCGAATTTTGCGCGGGCTTCGGTTGAATTGCTAAAACGGAAACAAATTGATAAATTGTCGAAATTAGCTGCTGGGCGGGAATCTGTCTTACTTCAATTTACTAATTAGCCCCGCGATCAGTTGTTTCACGTGCTCATTTAGAAACTAAATTTATTTATTTTAATTATTTTTGTCTTTATTAACAGAACGTAACTTGCTAGGACTAGTTTTCGTCGCCGAAGCTTCTAATTTTATTAATTAATGTAATTATTATTATTATTATTATTATTATTTCTTTTGATTCCTGTTCTATACACAATTCCTTCCGGACCCCAACCAGAGCCCTAAGGCCAGAAATGGCATCGTAACATTTTCCACTGAACATTGATTTAAGGGAAAAAAAAGCAACAAAAAACAAAAGAGGTGTGAGTTCAATACCAGGTTAAGGCAGTGGAGAATTTGGAAAGGGGAATTAACAGGAGATAACTGATAACTGACATCCATTAGACATGGCACGTGGAACTAGAACAGTCTACGCCAGCGAGCGAAATAAAGGGTTCAGTTCGACATTCCAACCACCTGAAGAAGGCCGGAACGTACAACGGCCGAAACGTTGTGATAAATATGGCAACAAAGATGAGGACGATTGTCCGAATAATGTAATTAGAGTACATAACACCTCATCTCAGAAATATAGACAGATAATAAACTAAAATTACACACATAGATAAGGCTCTTTGTAAATGTGAGCTGTACTTGTGAGTACATTTTTTTTTGTATTTCTTTAAGGCTTTGGCTACCAGGAATCCCTTCACTAAGTTTTTTTCCAATCAATCCGAGGGCTCCAACTACAACTGGGATTATTGTTGTCCTCACGTGTCACATTTTTGAGATTTCTATTTTAAGGTCTTTGTACTTTGAAAGTTTTTTGAAGATCTTCAAAGATACATTACAATCTGCAGGAACTGCCAAGTCAATAAGAAAGCACATTATATTCTTGATTACGATGTCTGGGCAATTAACTTTGATTATTCTTTCTGTGTGTATTATAAAGTCCCATAAAATTGTTACAGATCTTATCTCTGTAACCGGGTCTCGCAGTTTTCTTATTTCCCTTTAGACACGATACTTTACCAAATCTTTTTCTTACAAAGTTATTGAGAATATTACATTAAATGAACATTCCTTTTGTATCTCAGATAGTAATGGATGATTTTCTTTGCGTACGTATTAAAATTCTTTCTTCTTCTTCTTCTTCTTCTTCTTCTTCTTCTTCTTCTTCTTCTTCTTCTTCTTTCTTTCTTTCTTTCTTTCTTTCTTTCTTCTCCTTCTTCATTCTTTTTCTTTTTTCTTCTTATTCTTCTTTATTCTTTATTCTTTCCTCGTCTTCTTCATCTTCACGTTCTTTCTTCTTCTTCTTCTTCTTCTTCTTCTTCTTTTCTTCTTCATCTTCTTCTTTATTCTTCCTTCTTTCTTTCTTCTTCTTTTTTTTCTTTCTTCTTCTTTCTTCTTTTTTCTTTCTTCGTTTTTCTTCTTTATCATCTTTATTCTTCTTTTTTCTTGTTTCTTCTTCTTCTCCTTTATTCTTTCTTATTCTTTCTTCTTCAACTTCATTGTCTTCATTCTCCATTTTGTATTTTTCTTTCTTCTTCTTCTACTTTCTTCTTATCTTCTTGATTTTTCATTCTTTCTTCGTCTTCCTTTTTCATCTTCTTTTTCTTATTATCTCTTCTTCTTCATTCATCTTTTTCTTCTTCTTACTTCTTCTTTATGTTTTATTCTTTGTTCGTCTTTATTCTTCATCGTCAGTCTTCTTTTTCTTATTCTTCTTTTTCTTCTTTCTTCTTATTCTTTTAATTCTTCATTCTTTCTTCGTCTTTCTTCTTAATCTTCTTCGTTCTTCTTTTACTTATACTTCTTTCTACTTATTCTTCTTTCTTCTTATTTTTCTTTATTTTCTATTCTTTCTTAGTCTCAATTCTTCATATTCGTCTTCTTTATTCTTCTTTTTCTTATTCTGCTTCTATTTCTTCCTTCTTTCCTCTTTTCTTCTTTCGTCTTTTTCTTCTTCTTTATTCTTCTTTTTCTTCTTCATCTTCATCCTTCTTTTTTCTTCTTCTTGCTTCTTCTTCTACTTTCTTCTTTCTTCTTCTTCTTTATTCTTTATTCTTTCCTCCTCTTTCTTCTTCATCTTCACGTTCTTTATTCTTCTTCTTTCTTCTTTTACTTCTTCTTTCTCCTTTCTTCCGCTTTTTTCTTCATCTTTTTCTTTCTTCTTTTTTCTTCTTCTTTATTCTTCTTCTGTTTTTTCTTCTTTTTTCTAATTCTTATTTATCCTTTATTCTTTCTTCATCTTTCTTCTTCTTTGGTCTTCTTTTTCTTCTTTCTTTTTTCTTTATTCTTCGTTTTTCTTTTTAATCTCCATCTTCCTTATTCTTTTTTTATTGTTCTTTATTCTTCTTTCTTCTTTTTCTTCTTCTTCATTATTTTTTATTCTTTCTTCGTCTTTCTTCTTCATCTTCTTTATTCTTCTTTTCTTCATCTTCTTTTTCTTCTCCTTTCTTCTTCTTCTTCTTTATTCTTTCTTCGTCTTTCTTCTTCAACTTCTTTATTCTTCTTTTCTTCATCTTCTTTTTCTTCTCCTTTTTTCTTCTTCTTCTTTATTCTTTCTTCGTCTTTCTTCTTCATCTTCTTTATTCTTCTTTTCTTCATCTTCTTTTTCTTCTCCTTTCTTCTTCTTCTTCTTTATTCTTTCTTCGTCTTTCTTCTTCATCTTCTTTATTCTTCTTTTCTTCATCTTCTTTTTCTTCTTCTTCTTGCTTCTTTTTCTTCTCCTTTCTTCTTCTTCTTCTTTATTCTTCTTTTCTTCATCTTCTTTTTCTTCATCTTCTTTTTCTTCTCCTTTCTTCTTCTTCTTCTTTATTCTTTCTTCGTCTTTCTTCTTCATCTTCTTTATTCTTCTTTTCTTCATCTTCTTTTCTTCTTCTTCTTGCTTCTTTTTCTTCTCCTTTCTTCTTCTTCTTCTTTATTCTTTCTTCGTCTTTCTTCTTCATCTTCTTTATTCTTCTTTTCTTCATCTTCTTTTTCTTCTCCTTTCTTCTTCTTCTTCTTTATTCTTTCTTCGTCTTTCTTCTTCATCTTCTTTATTCTTCTTTTCTTCATCTTCTTTTTCTTCTTCTTCTTGCTTCTTTTTCTTGTCCTTTCTTCTTCTTCTTCTTTATTCTTTCTTCGTCTTTCTTCTTCATCTTCTTTATTCTTCTTTTCTTCATCTTCTTTTCTTCTCCTTTCTTCTTCTTCTTCTTTATTCTTTCTTCGTCTTTCTTCTTCATCTTCTTTATTCTTCTTTTCTTCATCTTCTTTTTCTTCTTCTTCTTGCTTCTTTTTCTTCTCCTTTCTTCTTCTTCTTCTTTATTCTTTCTTCGTCTTTTTCTTCATCTTCTTTATTCTTCTTTTTCTTCATCTTTTCTTCTCCCTTTCTTCTTCTTCTTCTTTTTTTTCTTTCTTCGTCTTTCTTCTTCATCTTCTTTATTCTTCTTTTCTTCATCTTCTTTTTCTTCACCTTTCTTCTTCTTCTTCTTTATTCTTTCTTCGTCTTTCTTCTTCATCTCCTTTATTCTTCTTTTCTTCATCTTCTTTTTCTTCTTCTTCTTCTTGCTTCTTTTTTTCTCCTTTCTTCTTCTTCTTCTTTATTCTTTCTTCGTCTTTCTTCTTCATCTTCTTTATTCTTCTTTTCTTCATCTTCTTTTTCTTCTTCTTCTTGCTTCTTTTTCTTCTCCTTTCTTCTTCTTCTTTATTCTTTCTTCGTCTTTCTTCTTCATCTTCTTTATTCTTCTTTTCTTCATCTTCTTTTTCTTCTTCTTCTTGCTTCTTTTTCTTCTTCGTCTTTCTTCTTCTTCTTTATTCTTTATAAAAGAATAAAGAAGGGGGAGACTTCTTTATCGTTTTTTTCTTCTTTTTCTTTTCCTTCTTTATTCTTCTTCTCCTTCTTTATTCTTTTTATTTCTTCTTCATCTTCTTCTCTATTCTTTTTTCTTTACTTCCTTTTCTTTATTCTTCTTCTTATTTATTTCTCTTTCATTCCCAGTAACTCCTTGAATCTTTGTGGCAGTGGATGATTAAATCTGACTTAATTTTCATTTCTTCTTTTCTTGCACTTCTCGACTCTGGAATGCACTTCCGGTTTCTTACTTCCCCGCCACTTACGATCTACAAAACATGAAATGCAACGCCGGTCACCATTTTCTGTCTTCCTGAATCCTTTTCTTTTATTTTCATTCTTTTTCATTCCTTGCGTCTCAGTAGCATTAAATAATTAAATCTAGCTCTATTCTAACATTTTCTTTTCTCACAATTCTTGCCTGTGGAACTCATTCCCAGTTTCTTGCTTCTTTGTCCCTATACGATCTTCAGATATTTAAATGCAATGTCAATCGCCATCTTCTGTCTTACTGAATCCTTTCTATTCACTAACATTTTCTCATTTTCTTTCACTCAGCTGTCTTCCAGCCTCCACAACCCCCTTGCGTCTTAGTGGCATTATCACCTTCCTTGGAGGGAAAGGATTAAAAAAATATATATATCCGGAGCCATGCGCAAAGATACTGAATTCTTCGAGAACTGTAAAGAATTTATTTTTCCCATATCCAAAAATATTTAATTTCAAACAGGCATACGACAATTGTCTATAAGACACCATAATTGTAGGTCGTTGCTCCTTCTTGAAAGCAACGGTCTCAGATTTAATTATACGCATCAAATACAATGGCCGAAGGGATTAGAAGCTATTATCACAATACTCCCTGTGAAGACACCCACCAACATCTGATATGAGAGACGACGTCATTTACAATGATCCAGTGGTGGATTTTGCCTTAAGTCTGTGTCATATTTCACTAATATTCTGTCATTTAATTCACTCTGGTTCATTAACCCTTGTGCATTAGGCATCAAGGTTGTCATGGCGTACAAGATCCATGTTGACCCGTTTTCTCGCGAAATCAGTGCGAGATAGCCATTAAGCTAACAAACTACTGCTTAAAGATTCAGACAATCCTTAGTTGTCTACTGTCGATTGACATTTATAAAATCTTTCTCTTCAAACAATTTATCCAGAAAAATAAATTATCATTCTTGCCGATACTTGTGGGTGTTTCCTTTTTAACCTTTTTTTCGAATTAGATTGATTCATTATTTTGGGGGTTTATCAACCCTTTGCAGGCTATTTCCAGTCAGTTTTTTTTTTATTGTTATGATTTGGTGGTGGGTATAATGGTTTACTGACACAAGGATGCGCGTTCTGGTATCATGGATATCAGCATGGAAATAAGAAATCGGAATCCCGAGTTCGAATTCCAGTCGAGTTGGTCACATTAACTTACGCGCAAATACCCTTGGGAAAGAATCCATCTTTTCTCCCCTCAGCTATGGGTTGACTAGCAGACTGGGTCATATAGACTTGATTAGTAACAAGTCCAACGTAGAAAGAAATGGCAACCTACTGCTGAAAAATCTTCTGCCTAGTCAGTCATGAATCGAAAGTGATATGATAATCCAAAGGTGTATCACTTACTAATTGACTGATACAAGTCTTACTAATTAACCCATAGAAGAGGGGGTTCATACGTTTCTCCTTGCGCATAAGTAAATATAACAAAACCAACGGAAATTCGAACTCGGCTCTCCAATTAACAATTCTGTGCCATTAACCATTACACCACCCGCACATCGCAACTTACGGTTCCTGGTATTCCCAAAAGGTTAAGCATCTAGGTACTGACCAACGGTTTCAAAGTGATGTGCTCGTAAGCCTGTTCGAAGTAGCGTGGAACGCCAACATCATTATGTCATTATGTTCTCTTACAGTTACATGGGCTGTCCATTTTTGAGCTGATGGTGTCATTTGTGACACTGTCTTCGCAGGAGATACCTGGCATGGTTGTATAGGGTCTCCTTTCTTTCTAATGATTGGGTCCTTTGCCGTTAATGTCCAAGATTTGGAGGCGCAAAGAAAGATCACCTTTTACTGCGTATCTGGAGAAACAAAATAATGAGTAAAAAGTAACATGCCAGCAATATATAATGTTCGAGGCAGTAATTCTCACAGAGAGGCTTTCGTTACATGTCTGGTCCTCAGACGGTGCTCCACATTGGGCCCAAGATCGGACCAGTGCGCCAGCTTGATGGTCCTGGGGGCGCGAGACTCTAAGCCATTTACGCGGAAGGTGAAGGACTTGCTTGCAGACCACGTCTCGGTGTCATATACTAGCACCAAGAGGACGTCGGCATTTTAAACTCGTAGCACGGTTCGTCAGGAGATATTCCGAGGCCGCCATAGTGGTCTCCAGGCGCCTCTCATGACAACTACAGCCAGCCCACGTCTTCTGTTGATCTCCCACCGAAACCACTTTCACCGCTCTCCGGCTTCGTAGGAGATACCTAGGATGGTTCTATTGCGTTTCCTTTCTTTCTAATGCTTGGGTTCTTCGTCATTAATGTCCAAGATTCCCTGGCGTAAAGAAAGATTACCCCCTTGCGAAAATTAAATGAAACAACTGCTTTAGTTTCCTTTCTTTCATCATACGGTCAGTTTTAGACACACTGGAATGACACGGTGTAATCGATTTTTATTTTTTCTCACATTAGGTCATTTCCGGTGGTGTGCAGTAATATCGTTAAGAAATATTGCCTCATCCGAAATCATCAGATTTTCATTACGCTCAGACACTATTGTCTCGACTATCGATTAGTTGTTCTACGGCCATTGTCTGCGATAGACGTTACTCCAAGGAAGCGTACGAAAATTGTAACTCTGCAGGAACATACTGGCAAGCCTTACCATTAAGCAAATCAAAGTACTATAGATTGGCCGGAAACTCTTCTGATTTAAATCCAATCGAGAATCTGTAGTCAATCTGCCAGGAACGACTTCGTGGAATGGACATACTATTAAGTTGGTGCAAAAATAATGTCGTTTTTGACGTTAAAAAACACATCAAAAAACGACATTATTACGTCATTATTTTTGCACCAACCTAATAAATACTAACATATCCATTAGTCATGTTTCATTGGAAAAATAAGAAAAAAGTAAATAATAACGGACGAACGACGGCGTTGTAAGATATTGCAAGACTGCCATAGTGGTCTCCAGACGTCTCTCATGACATCTGCAGCCAGCTCGTATCTTCTGTAGATCTCCCGCCTAAACCCCTTTCACTGTTTATTTATTCTCGGGTCATGAACTCCAAACATGGTGGATCTTCAAGTTTTATGTTCAGCAATTAAAGGAATAAATAACCTTCTTTATTTTTCTTCCCTTTTTGTTTATCTTACACAGTTCTCGTAATTTCTTACCGACTTTTATTTCCTCGATCCGAACAAATTACTACAAGTGGATTGGATTGCACACTTAAAACGAAATTAAACCTGTACAAACAAAGATGGCGTGCAACCTGTTTTTATACATTGTTTGATCTCGAAGATTTTACGCAGCAACTGGAGATATAATTCCTCAATTTGATTCCATTTTTTCTTTTCGTTTTAATCGAAATCTTCTAAACAAATTCCATCAGTTTTTATCTGCATTGCTGGCGACTTTCTCCTTTGTGTTGGCGTTTATGAAAAACTAGCAGCATGGCCCAGCGTTGCCCGTGCTTGATTCAAAAATCGTACGACTCATACAGCAATCGCTATCACTTGACTTAAAATATTTTTGCCCTTCCTTGCCTTTAAAGGAGTGCACTTTGCCGTGCTGATGTTGCTACATGCCTTACTTCTTGCCTATCTCACACTGCGAATTTTTTTCTAAGCTCTATACTAAACATTAAATCTGTTACGAAAAAAGAACTAAACAAAATGAACACAAAACGATCAGCTTAAAAAAAAGGACTCGTAACTGGAAAAACCGAATGAAAAAAGAATGTTAACAACAAATACTTTTTCACACCCAACCCAGTTCTGCGGAATCAGAATCAACGTTGAGTTTAAGCAAGCAAATGAGCCAATTGGAGTAAAGTGCCATGCAGATTTAAATTTTCCCACTTGTGACGAATGCTGCTATCGTTTTTTTTTTGCATGCTAGCATGCTAGTTAACATTCGTGTCAGTCAGCTGTTGGCTCTCACGCTGGCCAATAGAATCTTCCTGCCTATTCGCTCTAGGTTCTCACTCTGGCCAGTCAAAAATGGCCGCAAACTACATGAAAACTGCCGTAGAAGCATGAAGAAATCGATTTTTTCCACTATCGATTCGAGTTGGGAAATGCAAAGTCGGTCTTGGCCTTATTGCTAAATTGGAGCATGTGCATGTAAATTTTGGTGCAAATCCGTCAAAAATTGCGGCCGTGCATTCGTTACACACACACAAACACACATCCTGCCTTTTATAGATTTTGAGTTCAGAATATATTTGCCGTTTAGGCTGATCCCCAAACATACATAATTTCTAGGCTTGAAAACTCGATCCAAAAATGAACTTTGACCTAAAAATATATTTTAGGCTTTAAAGCACGACCCCAAAATATTCTAGGCTTGAAAACTCATTTCAAAAATATTTTTAGGCACTTTATCTCGACCCCAAAATATTTCTGAAGCTTGAATATTCAACCCCAAAATATTTTTAGTCTTGAAAGCTCGATCGAAACTGAGCCCAAAAGTATTTTTAGGCTTGAAAACTTGACCCAAAAATTTTCCTTAAGCTTCAAAAATCGACCCAAAAATATTTTTAAGGTTCAATAATACGACCCCAAAATATTTTTAGACTTGGGAACTTGACACAAAAGTTTTTTTAGGCTGGAAAACAAGACTCAAAAATATTTTTAGGCTTCAAAACTTGGCCAAAAAATATTTGTTTAGGCTTCAAAAATCAACCCAAAAATATATTTAGGCTCGAAAACACGACCCCAAAACATTTG